AGACCATCTCACGCTTCACATACGCGAATGGAAGGTCTATTGAGTCTCGAACCTGTTTTCTCCATACCTTCGCTTTACGCTTGAATTCCGCGCCGGGGAACCAGTCAGGAACATATTTTAGTTTCGGCAGAGAATCCTATAATATCAATGTGGACGGGTTCATTCGAAAACGCGTAGAGCTCACGACAAGATATTTGCCAGGCGTGGCGGCATCAGATAGTGTACGAAGAGCGTTCACGGCACGGTTGATGTATGGTTCGCTTTCAGGAAGAACTTCAAATCCGTATGCGGTAGATAAAATGAGCGCCCCGGCCATGCTGAAAATAATGTAAGTCATCTGAAAAAGGAATTTTGGCACCTACAGTCTGAGGTGGTCCATCACGCGGTCCGGGTCCAGAAAGATATTGCGGAGTAGTCCATGACAAGCTGTAATCTGCTTCGGACGAAGTTTGAGTGATGCTGTCGGGTTGAACTCGTGCTGGAAAAGCCGACGACGGGCACGCCTGGGGTAGGGATTAGTTCTAACGAGACAGAATGTGTGGGCGACTGACGAACCAGGCGGTACCTAGAGGTTTCTGGGATATTTTCCCTGTCTTTCTACTGCTGCTAAATTTTGACATACCATATCGCATTAAACCTGAAGTGTTCGTGTCAGTTGATTAACAAAAAATCGGAGATTGAAAGCAGACCGAAAGCAAAATCCCATCCCATCAGTTCATTGATCATCGGCATCCGCGGCCTGCGCATGGTCGAGGAGGAATCGCTAACCGCAAAATATAGCTCACCTGTCTGAGTATATGGAGGACCGTTTCAGGAGGAGGTCGTTTGCTGCCTCCACAGAGTTGAGCACGATAATCGATGACCCCGCAACATCCAAATGTATGATATCGGAATCTGGAAATGTTGCGATTAGCGGATGAGCATGCCGACCACGGACATGCAGGTCGCACTGTATTGTTCGCTCCACTTCATGTAGGTCTTCCATTCGAATGCTAGCGGCATGTCGAACAAATTACCCACAAGAGGAAGTTTTGGAGGGCCCGGTGGAAGTGGTAGCCTGGATCTCGAACTTCTATAATAGATAGCTACGAGTCCCGCAGTGCATATCGCACAATAAAGAAGGGATGGCATGCTTATGAGGGTAGGTGACGGAAGCGTAAGTGCACGAGTTCCGACGTACTGGAGGTGACTGCGTCAAGCAATAGATGGACTTAAAAAATGCGAACCACAAGCACAGGCTTTATATATGAGTGGAAGTGGCGGTGATCTCATCAAACATAGAGCGGAACTGAAAAGATTACGGCGTTCTTGCGGCGTTCCAACCACTGCCTCCTTAGTGATAAATTAACATTTGGACCGCTTGCATTGAAATAAACACATGGTCTTAGACACATGGAGTGGCTTATTTATGGATAAGGATTCCCGTAAGCTTTTTTTTTATTCCGGGGAACATTTTCACACTTTCCGCCGTGATGCCGAGGCGCCTGTCAGGACTCCATCACCCCAAAGCGGCCAAATCTCTTCTACCATCCCTCGAATATCCTCAAATCTAGAGGAGGGGTCTTATCCCCCCGAATAGATTGTTTGAGCTCAACATTATCTGTTTGGGACGAAAATGATTGATCATCACTCCCATCACAAATTCTCCGCCACCCCAATCGACGCCTAAGCGCGCCAAATGCACACGCCTGAGTCAGTATATCAAGCTTGACATCATGGGCAACGTCCTCTGACCTCATGCGCCTCTTTCTGGCCTTTAACAGACCTCGAATGAATATTTTTACGCCTTACCTCTCGGACAGCTCTCCTGCACATTGCAAGAGCAAAACTCCTCGCAGTCGACTGCCTACTGAAGCAAGGGATTGTCCTCAATCTGGTCGACTATATATATAAGTTTGCCTGCGGGAAACATGCAGTGTTAATAAACACGATTATACTGCTCATCAATCCCAGAAATGGCGTCAGAATATTTAAATCTTACGGGAAGTCACCTACTGCTGGATGGTTTGACGTATACGGGGCTTTTAATGGATATACGGCCCATAAATATACTAGTATAGGATAAATCTTTCAGGCCGGAGTCCCACACAATGGTTGAACAAGTGATTACTTCATCCGAGTAAATTTTCCTTGCAATGACTGGCTCACAATCGTAAAAAATGGATGGGCCTTGGAATGCTTCTGCAGAACGAGTTTCATTATCCTAAATACTCAAAAAAAAAAAAGAAATGAGGAGAAGGAATGGATGTTGGCGGTCGAGGGGATGTGAATTGGGCGGTGGACAGTGAAACGCGAGTAAATGACTGGATAGGAATTGGAAAATTGTGGGGACGTTGAAAACTGGCAATGACGACCAGTTTCCGAGTCGTTAATACAATTTTGCAACAAGGCGCCTATCAGGAGCGGCTACTGTACAAAAAAATCGACCAACAGCTGGCTCGAGAAATCTCGTAGGCTCCCGCATGGTAGCAGTCAAACCCTAGACTCAGAATATACAACTTCGATGGCTATTGGATGCCTAGCATGGAGCGATTTGGAGAATCCAACCAAAGCGGGGATCACTATCTCCGGCACGGCAAGAACCGAGAACGGCAGCAGTATAGTCACCCACGCCTCAAGCGGAACCCGACGGAGCCGGAGTACGGCGACAGACGCCGGCAGACGCCAAACTTTCAGCATGTTACTCTTCCTCGTTTTTCTGAACTGCGTCAGACTGACTCAGACATGACACGTGTATACTGCACCCCTCTAGAATATTGTGATCCGTCACCGTTTTTTGAGATTGAACAGATATCGTGATGGCGAATGTCTCGGGCTTTGCCGCACGAAGCGGCGTCCTAGTCTCGGTCCCGAATTGTTTAAAAAAATATTTTTAGAGTCGTTTTTGCCAGGCTTTTACACCAAGAAATCGAGGACTCTTAAGGTCAACTTTGAAACATGACCTCTTGATTAAACCTAACCTAAATGTCCTGTTTTCCCCGCACTTGCCCATTTCTACGTCGCTTCTGCCCGCATCGGGTGATCGTCGACCACTTTCTCCTCATTTGGCGTCTCTCTGATCAGTCAGCTTGCCGTGCTTTTTTTTAAATCTCCAATTGCTCACCTCTTTGGGGTTACCAGGTGATCTTGTTTGTGCGCACCTATGGAAAGGGCACAAATTTTTGTCCCCGAACTCACACTTTCAAAACAACGTGAGAGGCACTTACTTGGCTTGGCGGCATGCATTCAACCAAAATTTGCATGCCTTCGTGGGGAGTCGAACTCCATGCCTCATTAAAACACTGGATAATAGATACTAGATTGAGGTGCGTACTGTGCGCTACGAAGGCTTGTTGTACTTATTTTGTCCTTCTTTTTATTGCACAAGTTTCTTCTGCAGGGTTGTGTAGCGGCGAAAAAGCGGTCCTGCAAAACATGCTTCGTGGAGAGTTGAACCCCGTTCCTCATAAATCATCTTTTGGTGAGACTGCTGATGGAAGTGAGGTGTTCATGAACATTGCGCCCACTCATGAATTTGAGGTGCGCACCGTGCGCTACGAAGGCTTGTTGTACTTAATTTTGTACCTTCTTTTAAACATCACTTTTTTGCAGAGTTGGTAGGAGGGCCAAACATCGCGTGTGAATACCTCTATGCTTTCGTGGGGACTCGAGCCCCGGTCGTCATTACAAAATCGCCCCAGTAAATTACCGATTGGAGTGAGGTGCGCACTGTGCGCTACAAAGGCTTGTTGCACTTAATTTGAATCTGATTTTAAGCCTCACTTTCTTGAAGGGTTAGGTAAGAGGCAAAAAAGGGAAGATTTGCACGGCCATGCTTTCGTGGGGAGTCAAAACCCGATCCTCATAAACTCATTCATTTACCCGCATGATTGTGAGGTGCCGACCTTACGCTACGAAAGCTTGTTGCCCTTATTTCGTTCTTCCTTTCATACAGGATTTTATGCAGGTTTGGGTAAGAGCAAAAAAGCGCGCAGGCAATCGTGGATCAGACCTTCGTAGGGAGTCGAACCCCGGTCCTCATTGCGACGTCCGCGAAATTTTATTGAATCGAGGTGCGCGCCGTGAGCTACGAAGGCTTATTGTATTTAATTTCTACCTCATTTAAACCTCACGTCCTTGCAGGGTGAGTAGGACCAAAAGAGGGAAAATCAATTTGCGACCATGCTTTCGTGGGGAGTCGAACCCCGGTCCTCATGAACATGTTCATTTGCCACCTCATGAATTTGAGGTGCGTACCGTGCGCTACGAAAGCTTGTTGCCCTTATTCCGTTCTTCGTTTACGGGATTTTATGCAAGTTTGGGTAGGAGCAAAAGAAGGTGGAAACAACAGAATGCCTTCGTACCCCGGTCCTCAATAAATCACATGATGAAACTGAGGTGCGCACCATGCGCTACGAAGGCTTGCTATACTTATTTTGCACCCGCTTTTAAACCTCACTTTCTTGCACGGAGGAAAAAGAAACGAGAGAATTCTGACAAGCCTTCGTGGGGAGTCGAATCCCAAGCCTCATTACACTAGAGCTCGAGATCTCAATTATTGAGGCGAGGTGTGCACCGTGCGCTGCGAAGGCGTACTGCTTCTACCTTGAACCCGATTTTTAAACCTCACTTTCTTGAAGGGTTGGGTGAGAGGCAAAAAGGCCAAATCATTTTTCGACGCAGCATGCTTTCGTGGGCAGTCGAACCCCGGTCCTCAATAAATCACACGCTCAGTCCTGAGACATGTAACTGAGGTGCGCACCATGCACTACGAAGGCTTATTGCTTCTACCTTGAACCCGATTTTAAACCTCACTTTCTTGCTGGGTAGTTAGCACTAAAAATGGTCTACCTGGTCATGCCTTCGTGGGGAGTCGAACCCCGGTCCTCATGAACATTTTACCCACTCTCATGAATTTGAGGTGCGCACCGTGCGCTCCGAAGGTTTGTTATACTTACTTTCTTACCTTCTTTTAAACCTCAATTTCTTGCACAGAGGAAAAAGAAACGAGAATACTCACAAGCCTTCGTGGGGAGTCGAACCCCAAGCCTCATAAACCGTGCACTGTTGTTGATGTATGAATGTGAGGTGCGCACCGTGCGCCACGAAGGCTTATTGTGCTTACTGTGTGCTTTGTTTAAAACTCAATTTCCTGCGTGACGGAAGAAAAACTACGTCAATTCCAACGAATTAAAAACTACCTAGTTTCGAACCATGCCTTCGTGGGGAGTCGAACCCCGTTCCACAATACATCTGATTTGATCTGTATATGATTGTGAAATGCGCACCGTGCGCTACGAAGGCTTATTATTCTACTTATTTTGTACCTTCTTTTAAACGTCACTATCTTGCACGGAGGAAAAAGAAGCAAGAATACTCGGACAAGCCTTCGTGGGGAGTCGAACCCCAAGCCTCATAAACCGCTGAGCTCTTGAATGGGTGTGAGGTGCGCACCGTGCGCTACGAAGGCTTGTGGTGCTTACTGTGTGTTTTGATTAAAACTCACTTTCCTGCGTGGCGGAAAGAAAAACTCGATCAGTTCGAAACCATGCCTTCGCGGGGAGTCGAACCCCGTTTCAAAATACATCTGGGGTTGGAAGCTGGATATGATTGTGCGGTGCGCACCATGCGCTACGAAGGCTTAGAACACTTTCTTTGTAGCTGGTATAGCTGGCCCGGTCAGGCAAGGGTCAAAAAAACCGATCCGCAGGCCATGCCTTCGTGGGGAGTCAAACCCCGCCGCTCCTCATAAACATTGCAAATTGGCAAGTATACAGTATGATTGTGAGGTGCACACCGTGCGCTACGAAGGCTTGCTATACTTACTCCCGCGCCTGATCCCAAACCTCACTTCCTTGAAGGGTTGGGTGAGAGCCAAAAAAGGGCAAGTCATTTTCACTATGCTTTTATGGGGAGTCGAACCCCGTGCCTCATTTAAACAACATTTTGTGGATATTGGATTGAGGTGCGCACCGTGCGCTACGAAGGCTTGTTATATTTATTTTGTGCCTGAATTTAATCCTCACTTTCTTGCTGGGTGAGTAGGACAAAAAAGCCAAATGGCCCAATTGATTATGCTTTCGTGGGGAGTCGAACCAATTGGTGGAGAAAGCTTTCAAGGGGAACAGCTCTTATGGCCTTATAAGGCCGTAGAGCGCCTTATCGGCGAAATTACAAATTTGCGATACTTCCTGAGATGCTGAGCGTCGGCTAGAATCTTTGTCTACCCGCGGGACTTTGCGAGGGATCCTTTTCGCACAATTCACCAGTTATTACTGGTCCCGGTGTTACAGGCACAAAGCGGTTTGCTCTTGACTCGTTATTCGCGACAACCTTCAAGAGCGCGCATTGACATGCTTGGATTAAATGTATGATTCTTACAAAAGTTCGCATCCCGGTCACCTGGACAACTCGGAGTCTCGGACTAATAATAAGTGGACGGTAGGTAGGTAGGTAGGTAGGTAGGTAGGTATTATCATTTTCAAAATGCCGTTCAAAATGCCATCTAAGAGGACCCCTGATAATAGGTGGGAAGGCCAGGTCCCAAACTCGGCCGATTGGCCGATTTTTGCCACCTGGGTTTTGCGCCGATTGCCCGGATTTTTGTCCGTCCCGTAGCCCAAAATTCGATCCCCCCCCGCAGGGCTGAATATAGTGGATTGCGGCCACATATACAATATTAATTAATGCAGTAGGACAGTTTTGCGTCCAGCTTCTCGTCATTTAGAACTAAATTAGCTCTCCCCGTCATCATCATCGTCAGAATCAGCCGGATGGGACTAATACGTGGATCAAAAAAGACAACAGCGTGGATATTGGGGTTCGAACACAGGAGGAACAAAATAAGCGTATTTTAAGTCGAGCGTCATAAACCGTAAAACTATCAAAAACTGCGTTCCGCGGCCCCGAGGCAAAGGTTTTACCCTGGGTCTATGTTAGTCTACGTGGGTCTATATCGGCCGACACTAGTAGGCAGAGTCCGCTTACTGGGGTCGGCCAATGTAGGCAGACGTAAACCAGCTTTGTCTATAGGGCCACGGAATGCAGTGAAAGTATTATGTGACCAATTGCCTAGCCTTAGTCCCAGCAATTTTGTCCGCACAGGACCTGGGCTTCTCGGCCTCAAGACACCATTTTTGTCCGTCCGGGACCTGGGTTTGGGGCCAAAATTCCCAAATTTTGTCCACCAGCGGACCTGGCCTTCCCACCGATTATCAGGGGTCCTCGTCTAAGTCGTTGTCATTCGCTTAAAAGATGACGCCTACTTCGATGGCGGTTTTTACGCTTCCTGGAGACACATGAGAGTTATTTATACAGAGATGTATCGCGTATTAATACAACTCGCCGTCGGCAATACCCGGGATCGGATCTCGGAGTCTAACTCGAGGCCCAGTTTTTTTACTCAACTTCCTATTGACTCGGAGGGCTTACTGGCCGGCTTCTTAAACTACTATCCTCCTAATTGTTTATTCTTCTCCAAATGCTGTTCGAGCCAATTGCCATCATCGCTGAATTGAAAATTCTCACCTTTTTAAAGTTTGCCCGACGGGCGTTTGGCGTGTCATTATATGACAAGATTCTGCCAAACAGAACTGGCTCCGCTTCAAGAATATATTTCGTCCATGTCCTTTATGAGCGCTTGTCTTCACCTCTCGCCGCCCGCTTGATATGCCACCTCTCCCAGTTGTAACATTCGTTCTCGGCGGTTGGGTGAGTAGGCGTTATTTCTCAGCATTGAGATCTGAGATGCTGAGTATAGGCTAGGACATCGGTACACATGCGGACCTCGTCCTTCAAGGCATTCTCTTCGCACAATTCACCAATTATTGGTCTCAGTATTACAAGTCGGATTCTCTCTCCCTGAAGCTGTTTGTTCTTGGCTTGTGCCTTGCGACCACCTTCAAGAGCGCGCACTCAATGTATACCCTTACTATTCTCACAAAGGTTCGCTAACCGGTGGACTTGCAGTGCTGCAGTTTGGGTCCAAAATGTCGAATACTTCGCGGATATCGGGAAGGCATCGCAGATGTTCTACACCAACTGGGTGACCCAAAGTACTATTCTAATAGGGGCAATAATCGGGTTTTCTGTGCAAGCATTCTTCTGCCGGAGGCTCTGGGTATCGAAATTCGTTACCTCTGGCTATTGACGCTGATTCGAGTCTTGAGATCATATCGAACAATATCTACGTGGTGGCCTTCGTTGTCTTACTTTTCGTCTTCGGCCTCGTAGCGGCGATAGTATATGTAAGGATTCTTGATATTGACTATCTCTTGTTCTAATCTAGGTGTCGCAGACTGCGTTCATCTTTTCTGGTCAGCTGTTCCGAGCCCTGGCGTTGCCGACTGTCGGGCATTACCACGAGCCCACTGATAAAGTAATGTGGGGTAAGATTCAACTGCTCCTCGTTTAATTCTGGCCTCAGTCTTGTGATATTCCAGGCCCGATTCATTTCGGAACAGTGGTGGCAGGAGATGTGATTTTATCTGGAAGCACCATCTATTTCTTGTTGGTCGGTGAACAAAGATTTTATTCATTCTCGAGTTATAATTATCCTGTGGTAGAAACGATCACACCAGGCGTTACCGGGAAACGTGGGGATCCTGAACCGACTTTTGAGGATCGCATTCCAGGTATGAAGCTCGACCCTGCCGAGTTTCATTGCTGACGAAAGGTGTATGATATAGTCCACGGTGGCAGTCACTCTCTGCGCCTTGGCCAATTTCATCTCCGGACTGATTTACATTCAGCACCCTTCTACCGGTGCGACACTGCTGTTCGTCCAGCTAACCAACATGATGCTCCCAAAACTATACGCCACTTCGGCCATGTGGACGCTTAACTGCCGAAAAGGTTTTGGTGCGGACACTAGGAGAAGCTCGGAGAAACCCAATAGTCACCAAGTGGCAACGACAATACAATTTGAACGACAATCCGTCGATGGTGGCCCCCCAGTTCGAATTGAAAGCCACGAGGAGACTGAGCATGAGCATATGTTCGAACGGCGCATAAAGCCATATCCGGATGTCAGTAGCCGACAACTGGAGTCTATACCAGAGTAGTACGAGGGGTGGTACTCGAGCCAGACCCTAAACGGGCCACAAAGCCTCCATTAATATTAGGACAACCCCCACGACCCGGACTCGGGCCCAAAAGTGGGAATACCCGAGTCCCATCCTACTCTTCTCGTCATTCCCCGTACGGATATATTATGTATTTTTATTATCATTCCCCTGAATTAATTGAAGTTTTTTTTCTTAGCAACATTTCAGCGGCACTGATCGGTACGGCAACTTCCTAGGCAAAGATAAAGTGCCGCAGCATGTGCCGCAGCCAGTGGCTGCGGCAATTTTGTTGCACTGCCGCAGAAATAAATAAATAAAAAACCGCGTGCATCGACGGCCACGAAGACGCGAGGGCTTCCAATTCTTGAGAGAATTCGTTAACTACTCATGTATATGGCCCCCACAATGTTCAATGCCCCGGGGCCTAAACAGACGACTTGGCTGCGGCAACCTGCGGCATTCTCCGGCAACCAAACAAATCCAACGTGAGTGGCTGCGGCACTCTGCGGCAATACATGCGGCAAAACCATGAATGACTGCGGCAAACTCGTGCACGGCTACGGCAGCCCAGTATTTTGCCGCAGCCATTGTGTGTCAGCCTGCGGCAGCCAGGCGGCGTGACGCCATCGCAGTGTGACATGTCTGCGGCAGGTCTGCGGCAATGTCATGCACACTGCGGCACTACGCAGCGGTAGTCCCAATGTGCATTGCGGCACTGGCAAACAATGTTGTTATAATAAAGCCAGCCTGTCATTTTAAGCATCGCTATAGTTCAACCCAAGCCGACATCGTCGCAACTCGAGCCAAGTTGATTTCTTTTAGAGTTGAACCGTGTGCTCCTCGTCATTGGCAGAGTCAATTACGCGCGGCTTAAAATAACTTCATTACTCAATGAATTTTGAATTCCTATGGCAAAAGATAAACCAGATTAATATACCTATCTGATCCAACACCCAAACCCTCTCAACCTATATACAGAAGCCTGCGGCAGTTACTGTAGTTTGGTTGCGGCACTGATTAAATTTACATAACCCAGCTATATTTTTT